TCAGTATGAAAATGATAAAAATTTTATAAAAAACAAACGGTTCTAAAAAAAGTTATGCCCATTTAAGTATCAATTTTCTTTACAAGGATTCCTTAAGAAAACTGCAACCCACTTGAGAAATTCGCTTTCGGTTATCGGTAGTTTTATAATTTATATTTCCTTGTTATATTGGACATTATTTTGTATCGCTTAACTTTTCATTCAAAATAAGTATAAAATATTTAACTAAATAGCTCATCTGCGTGCGAAAATAGGGTATGGATCGTGGATTAGGGGCGTGTCAATATTTCTTGATGAAATTAGGCAGATACATAGAAAATGGTTGTACTAAATTAAATGAAAACTTACAAAAATAAATATGTCTTCAACAAAAAATCGCTTCAATAACATCACTTTTTTTTTTTATTTACACTTTTGCCGATAAAAAAAAAATTTACAGTCGTAACTTATAAAAAAAATAATTACATGACCGGGGCTAGAAGAAGACAAATTTAGTCTTATCATTAAGCGCCAAGAAATGAGAAATAAAAACTCTTTAGTGTTTGAGAATAAATGGGCTAACAAAATAATTCACGGTAACTAAGGACGTTGCTATAAAACTTTAGAATAACTTATATGTGTTTATTGGTTAAGAAAAACAATATATATATATATATATATATATATATATATATATATATATATATATATATATATATATATATATATATATATATATATATATATATATATATATATATATATATATATATATATATATGTATATAAAATATTTTTTTTTTTTGTATATAATATGTTTTTTGTATATAATAATTTTTTTTTGTATATAATATATTTTTTTTTGCGAAAACTTTTGACGTGAAAGAACGTGCTTTTGTAAACTAAATTAAAAATGGCTAAATTTACCGTTTCTCAAATTAATGATCTATTAGATATTCATGAGAATACTTTATTGAAAATATTTAACGAGAAGTTTGATAAAATGGAAATCAAACTATTAAATCTTCAAGAAGAAAATTCAAAACTAAAAAAAGAAACTAGTGAATTAAGGAAATCGGCAGAGTTTCTTAGCGAGAAATATGAATAAATTGTTCAAGAACTTTCTGAAATAAAAAAAAAAGCCTAATTCAACATCAAGCCAGAATGATATAACAAATGTTGTTGTCAAAGATAAACTTGCTGAGTTGGAAGACAGCAGCAGAAAAAATAATCTAAGGTTTACAGGAATTGAGAAAGACGAAAATGAAACGTGGGAATTAAGCGAAGAAAAGATTCAAAATGTTCAATTTCAACATTACCTTTAAAACCAAGTCAAAACTTGGTTTTAAAGGTAATGTTGAAATTAAACGTGCGCACAGGACGGGGAAAAAAAATAGCGATGGAAAAAAGTATAACAGAACCATAATAGTAAAATTTTTAAATTACAAAGACAAAAAAACTGCGTTGGATAACTATGTTCAGTTAAAATTGTGGAACGATCGGATTTAGTAAACGAAGACTACAGCAAAAGAACTTTGGAATTGCGAAAACAGTTATTTAAAGAAGCAAAAGATCTGAGAGCCAAAGGTAAATATGCTAAAGTTGTATATAATAAACTTGTAACGCGCGACAATTAAGAAATTCTTTTATATTAGAGTTATTATTTTATCTTAAATTTTTTATTGTTTTTAAATACTAAAATGGATTCAAATCACTTAAAGAACTTTGATATTTTTCAGTACAATGATTTTATACTCAACAAAGAGTCCGATCCTGATCAAAGTTTTTTTAGCGAAACTGGTGCTTTACAAAGCAACTGCAGCTGTTTCTATAGTTATGAAATAAAAGAATTTCTTGAGCATGATAAATTTAATGCAGTTCATATAAATATAAGAAGTTTAAAAATAATTTTGAAAATCTTTGCAATAGTTTTGAGGAAAATTTAACTCTTTTTAGTGTAATATGCATAACTGAAACTTGGTGTAGTTCTAATGACTCAAGTTTAGATAATAAACTTAAAATACCGGGCTATAATTTGATTTCATTAGGACGGAAAACAAATAAACGCGGCGGTGGTTTAATTATTTATGTAAAAGAAAACCTTCAGTATTATATTAGGCATGACATGAGTATTTCTGATGTCAATAAAGAGGTTTTAACAATTGAAATATTGAACAATAAAACTAAAAACATTGTGATAAGTTGTTATCGCCCACCTACAGGCGAAAGTAAATCTTTTAGTACATTTTTACAAGATGATGTTATAAATAAAAGCAACCAAGAAAAAAAAATTACTTTACATATTAGGTGATCTGAATTTAAATTGCTTTGAGTATCATGTCAAAAAAGACATTAATGGGTTTTATAATGGCCTATTTGAAAACAGAGCAGTTCCACTAATAAACAAACCAACTAGAATTACTCAAAAAACAACTTCCTTAATTGATAGCATTATAACCAACGATATTTTTAATAATTCGCTTAAAAAAGGCATTAATAAAAGTGATATATCTGATCACTTCCCTATATTTTTTCAATTGATATTTATGCGAAAATTATTTTTTATGAAAAAAAATCATTTAAAAAACGAATTTTTCATAATAAAAACCTAGAATCTTTTAAATATCAATTATCGTTAATTAATTGGGACATTATAAACTTTTCTGAAGACATTAATTTAATATACAAATCCTTTTTTAAAATTTTTTATGAAATTTATGACATCAATTTTCCCAAAGTAGAAGTAAATTACAAATATAAAAAAATTGTATCGCCATGGATTACTAAAGGTATTCTAAAATCTTCAAAAATTTAGCAAAAACTTTATATTAAATATTTAAAATCAAAAACAACTAAGAGTAAGACTATTTATAAAAATTACGTAAGATTATTTGAACGCCAAAGGAAAAATTCAAAAAAAATATATTTCACTAATTTACTTGAAAAATACAAATTAAACTCAAAACGCACTTGGCAACTAATGAACGAAATTACTGGTAACACTTAAAAAATTTCGCAATCTTTGCCCTCAGTTATTAAAGTAGATGGTAATCTTCTTCTTGATCAAAAATTAATTGCTTCTGAATTTAATAAATATTTTGTATCTGTAGGACCAAACCTAGCCGAAAAAATTCCGAACCCTAAAAAATTAATAAAAGCAACATATGACCCTCTAAACTCGTATCGAAATTCTTTTGATTTGTCTTTTGAAGAGTTTGAAAGTGCTTTTAAATTGTTAAAGTCAAATAAAGCAGTTGGTCCTGATGATGTCAACGGAAATATTATTATAAGCTGTTTTGACGTTTTAAAAGACATAATTTTCCAAATTTTTAAATGCTCTATTAATCAGGGAGTTTTTCCTGATGATTTAAAAATAGCAAAAATTATTCCTTTATTTAAAGAAGGAGAAAAAACTAATGTAAGACACTATCCTCCGATTTCCATCCTCTCTGTTTTTTCTAAAGTTTTAGAAAGAATTTTGTACAACAGAATATACAATCACCTTTTAACAAACAAATTATTATATAACATGCAATATGGATTCAAAAAAAATAATTAAACAGAGCATGCAATTATTCAGCTTACAAGAAGTATATCAGACTCATTTAACAATTCTAAATTTACATTGGGAATATTTATTGATTTAGCAAAAGCGTTTGATACAATTGATCATCATTCCTATTAATAAATTAGAATATTATGGTATAATAGGCAATGTTTTAAAATGGTTGAAAAGTTATTTAACTAATCGTAAACAATTTGTTTATGCTCATAAATCATTTTCATCAAATTTGTTAAATATTAGATGTGGAGTTCCTAAAGGATCCATATTAGGACCTCTTCTCTTCCTTATTTA